AAAGGGGGCTTGGGGATTGAGAGGAGTGGGGGGAACAAGGAGGGGATGGACATGGGGCAGAGTGGGGTGCAGGGAATGGGGTGGGGGTCAAGAATTTGGGGTGTTGGGAGTGGGATGTGTCAGTGGTGACAGTGGGGGTACACTGGGAGCAGGGAATGGGGTGTGAGGCAGGAATGTGGGGTGTTGGAAGAGGGATATGGAGATGCTGGGGCTGGGGGTACACTGGGAGCGGGGAATGGGTTTTGGAGCAGGAATTGGGGGTGTTGGAGGGGGATAAGTCAGTGCTGACAATGGGAGTGCAGTGGGAGCAGAGCGTTCCTGTGGCTGAGCTGGGGGTGCAGCAGCCCCTCCGTGCCCCCCCACACTGGCCCCATCACCGGGGTCTCTGTTCCCTGCAGCCCCCAAAGAGCCCCAGGGGGACCCCAGGCCCCCACCCCGCCACCTCCTGCAGTTCGGACACCACAGCAGGGCCTGGGGGCACCTCGGACACGCCGGGAAGGGACAGCAGGACAGCCACCCCTGATGGCACCAGTGGGGACCCTCATGCAGCCCCCCCGGTGCCCCCCCCGCCCACCCACTGCTGCGGCACCGGCTGCCCCAACTGTGTCTGGGTGGGCTACGTGGAGCAGCTGCTGCAGCTGCACCGGGACGGCGGAGCCCAGGCCCTGGCAGCTGTGGAGCAGCACGTGGAGGATGAGAACATCAAAATGATCCTCAGGATGGAGATCAGGCTGCGTGCCAGGAAGGAATGAGCCTCCTCAGACTGGGGGGGACACCCCTGGGGGGACAGGATCCAGGCCTGGGTGGTTTGGGGTGGTTGTTGTGTGCTGAGTGTGCCATCCCGGGGGTGTCACGCGAGGTTGGGTCACCTCCTGCCTCACAGGGAGCTGTCCTTGGGGACAGGTGGTGACTCAGGGCTGTTCTGAGCCCCGGATTTCCCAGGAGCTGGATGCTGTGCCCTCCCCAGCGTGGCAAATCCCTGCCAAGGGCAGGCTGGGCAGCCCTCCTCCTCCTCCTCCTGTGATCTCAGCTGGAATTTAAGCACCTTGGGGGGATTTTCAGCACCTTGGCCATGCCCTGGTGGTGGGGAGGGCCGAGGGGGCTGGGCCAGACCCTCCCCAGTGACACCACAAAGCCTCTTAGGGGCCTCTCCGTGGGGGCAGCGTGTGGCACCGAGCACGTGGGGAGCTGCAGCCGCCTGTCAAGGACACTGCCCCTGTCCCTGGTGCCACATCCTGCTGGGCTGGCCACCAAGGTGCCTTTTCTGCCTCCCAGAAACTTGTCCCAAACCCCCTCCTCCATCCTGGGGGACTCACAGCCATTGACACCCACCCAGACCCCCCCATGTCATCCCAGGACAAGGTCCCCAAGAAGCCGCCAGCCCTGAGTGTCACTCACTAATGAACCCCAATTAACAGCCAGGCTCTGCTCTCTGCCAGGGAAGTAGGTGCTTCTCCATGGAAAACACTCCTGGATTTCTTTAATCCTATTTGTTGGAGCCCAACTAATTGCAATTAGTGGCGGGGGCTGAAGTTCAATTAAAGTGTGCCGAGATTAGTCTGTTTTTAATTGCTTTAGTGCTGGATTAGGGAAGCTTTGGAGCAACACCAGCCGTGGGCAGGGGGTGCTGGACCCACCAGGCTGGGCTGGAGCCTGGAATGGGGGTCCCATGGCTCCCTGTGGGATCAGGGGACACTGGGGGGTCTCTTTGGGAATGGGATCCCCCCACGTGGGATCCGCTGCCCACGGGCACGGGCAGGGCTAATCCTGACACCTCCTCCCCCCAGAGCAGGGGAAGGACACCCCAGGATTACCCCTGGGGAAAGCAGGGAGGTAAATAATCCTATTACCCCCGGGCAGGATAAATCTCCCTCCCCGAAAAGCCCCCCAGAGCATCTCCAGGCCGGAGGGAGCCGGGCTGGGCGGAGGGAGCAGCTCTGGAGCCGGGATCGCGGCACTCTGTGAGTCAGGGGAGGGGACAGGGGGGTCTTTGCTCTCCAGGAGCATCCAGGAACATCTCCTGGGCTTGGATCCTTGTTCCCAGAGCCGTGCCCAGCTCTGCAGCCGGGCCAAATCCCCCACACCGATCCCAGCCGGGGTTTGTGCCCCCAAATTCCCACTCCTGGTGCCATGGGCCATCCCCTGTTCCCCCTTCCCAGCCTGGGGTACCCCACACTGACCTGGGCAAGCCACGGAGGGTCCTGGCAGTGCTCTGAGGGGTGCCAGGTGTCACTGGGGTGGGGACAGGGCAGGGAGCAGCAGCAGCCTTGGGATGCCCCTCCTTGCCTTTGGGGTTAACACTGAGCTGGGCTCAGCCATTGTGGGGAGGGGGCTCTGAAGAGCCCGGCAGGGGCTGGGTGGGAGGAGAAGCTGGTGGCCCCATTTCCCTCCAGCGGGTGCGAGGAGCCGTCCTGTGCCAGCGCTGAGTTTTGGGGAACGCTGTGAGCTCTGGGGAGCACCGTGAGCCCCAGGGAGCACCCTGAGCTCCAGGGAGCACCGTGAGCTGTGGAGAACACTGTGAGATCCAGGGAACGCTGTGAGATCCAGGGAGCACCGTCAGTCTTGGGGAACACTGGGAGTTCTGGGGAACGCCGTGAGTTCCAGGGAACCCTGAGGAGCACCGTGAGTTCCAGGAAGCACCGTCAGCCCCAGGGAGCACCGTGAGGAATACTGTGAGTCCCAGGGAGCACCGTGAGCTCCCAGGAACCCTGTGAGCTCCAGGGAGCACCGTTAGCCCCGGGAAACTCTGTGAGTTCTGGGGAACACCGTGTGTTCCAGGGAACGCCGTGAGCCCAGGGGAACTCTGTAAGCCCCAGGGAACACCGTGAGCCCAGGGGAACTCTGTAAGCCCCAGGGAACGCCGTGAGCTCCAGGGAACGCCGTGAGCCCAGGGGAACTCTGTA